CCTACTAATCCATACTACTGGAAACAGATAAGATAAGAATACTGAACAGATAAGATAGAACTGTATCTAGCTAGAATTAGATAAGATGAGAATCAACAAATCTTGCACCCTTTACTGTTGCTGCCGGCAGTGATATTTCTTCCCAATAAAAGCGTCCACATCATTACTCCCCTCCTGGACTAAGAGCTTGTTCTCAAGCTCGAAACCAGGATATGTGTCTTGAAACTCAGTCAAAAGGATCCAGGTAGCTTCGGCTGATGGTAAGCTGGCCCATTCCACCAGGACTTCAAGAACACCCCGATTGATTTTGGAGCGAACAAGAGCCCGAGGTTGGGGAATGAGTTTGCCTTCTTTCAAGGGTGGTAAGGGGGGAACTCTGTCAGGAGGAATACCCTTAAACGGCTTGAGCAAGGAAATGTGGAAAACATCATGGATCCTACTGTGCTCTGGCAGATCCAGCTGGTATGCAATCGTACCAATCCGCCGCAAAACCTTGAAGGGTCCATAAAATTTAGGAGCTAATTTAGGAGCAGCCCTGTGACCCAAGGAGCGTTGTCGATAGGGCTGAAGCTTCAACCAAACAAACTGTCCCGATTCAAATGACAATTCCCGATGATGCTGGTCATAGGCATGCTTCATGCGTAGTTGTGCTTGTTGTAAGCGAAGAGAAACTTCAACTAGAAGGGCATCGCGTTCATGTAGGGAACGATCAATCTCCTCCAAACGAGTAGAACCGGGTTCATAGGATAACAAACGAGGAGGGTCACGGCCATAGACGACCCGGAAAGGTGTCATTCCTAGGGAAGATGATAGGCAGTGTTATAACAATACTCGGCCCAAGGAAGCCAATCAACCCACCGTCGCGGTTGATCTCCAACAAAACAACGGAGATACATTTCGATCGTTCAATTCACCACCTCTGTTTGCCCGTCCGACTGAGGATGATACGCGGAAGAGAATGCTAGGGTGGTACCATGTAACCGAAACAATTCCTTCTAGAAGGTACTAGTAAAAACCGGGTCCCTGTCGCTGACAATAGATTCCGGTAACCCATGTAGATGGAAAACATGAGTAAAAAAAACGTGGGCGACAGAAGTAGCATTGTACGGATGTGACAGAGGGATGAAATGGGCATACTTAGAGAAGCGGTCCACCACCACGTAAAGAACTGATTTTCCTCCAACCTTGGGTAGTCCCTCTATGAAATTCATTGAGATATCAGCCCATATTTGTGCTGGAATCGAAAGGGGCTGAAGAAGGCCAGCCGGGTGCAGGTTTTCCCATTTGTGTTGTTGACAAGTGGAGCAGTTTTGGATAAAGTCCCTAATAGAAGCCTTCATACCTTGCCAATGGAAATCAGCTTGGACGCGATGCAGTGTCTTTTGAATGCCTTCATGGGTGGAGTTATGAATACTGGAGATGATGGAGAGAATTAAAGAGGAATCTGCTGGAAGATGTACCCGACCTTTATACATCACAAGCCCGTCATGAAGGGACCAATTGGAGTCGGCAGCTCCAGACTGAATTTTCTAAACAAGGGTCGTCCATTCTGGTGAGTGTGGCATCGCCTTCTTGATGTCGTCTAACAAGGTGACTCGGGGATGGGAGATCCCACAAAGAAGAATAGTGTCCTCGTCGCGCCTAGACAGTGCATCCGCGACGCGATTTAAGGATCCCGCTTTGTAGTCTACCCGGAAATCAAAACCAAGTAGCTTGTTAACCCAATGTTGTTGAGGAGAAGTGGTAAGTCGCTGCTCCAACAAGTACTTGAGGCTATAGTGATCAGTTTTGACGACGAATGACCTTCCCTACAAGTACAGTCTCTAGTGTTGGACTGCTCTAGCTAATCGAATCAATTCGCGTTCATAGGCGGGTAATTTTAAATGACGGTCAGCAAGTTTACGGCTGAAGAAGGCAATCGGGTGTCCTTGTTGCTGTAATACAGCTCCAATCCCTATTCCGGATGCATCGTACTCAACTGTAAATTCGATATCAAAGTTCGGTAATTGCAGAACTGGAGTGGAGGAGAGGGCATTCCGTAAATTTACAAAAGCCGCATCGGCTGTGTCGTCCCAATGAAAGGCATTCTTCTTTAGCAGGTTGGTTAATGGGGCAGCCAACAGGCCATAATTCTGTACAAACTTGCGGTAAAATCCTATCAAACCGAGGAACCCGCGGAGAGCCTTGGCGGATTGGGGCTTGGGCCATTCCTTGATTGCTTGAATTTTGGAACTATCCACCGTTACACCTTGCCCGTTGATGGCATGACCCAAGTAAAGAACCTGGCGCTCCCCAAAAGAGCACTTGGACCGTTTAAGGAAGAGCTTGTGTTGGTGCAGGAGCTCAAAACCAGTCCTCAGATGATGCACATGTTCTATCCATGATTTAGTGTAAACCAAAATGTCGTCAAAGAACACTAAAACAAATTTGCGAAGGTGGGACTGAAATACCTCATTCATTAAGGACTGGAATGTGGATGGGGCGTTTGTGAGACCGAACGGCATAACTAAAAACTCAAAGTGGCCATGATGAGTTCTGAAGGCAGTTTTCTCAACGTCTCCGGAAGCCATTCGGACCTGAAAGTATCCCGACCTGAGGTCTAATTTGGAGAAGTACCGGGCACCATGAAGTTCATCCAACAACTCGTCCACAATGGGAATAGGGAATTTATCCTTGACAGTCCGGTTATTGAGCTCTCTGTAGTCAACACAATCTCCAAGTACCGTCCCGCTTTGCCACCAATAGGACTGGCGAGGAGAAGGGAGAACGGCTAAGGCGGATGATCCCCTGTTTCATCATTTCAGCACATTGCTTCTCTATCTCGTCTTTTTGCAGATGTGGGTAGCGATAGGGTCCAATGACGACTGGTTCTGAACCCGTCACCAGAGGGATCCGGTGATCGCAAGCTCTGGAAGGAGGAAGTCCCTTGGATTCTTGGAGCGCATGAACCTGTGGTTTTTTTGCCTTTACCCTGTTACCCTGCCAAGTAACTTGCTTCCCATTCAAGCGGAATGTCATCGTTAGGGTGCTGAAATCCCATAGGATTGGGCCTAGGGTGATCAACCATTTTACCCCAAG